AGGCAGAGGTTCAGCTGGTGTTGCAGAGTCTTTTTCTGGTTGGGGGGGTGCAGGTTTAGAGGGCCTTAGGGCGGAGGTGCCTGCAGATTTACGTACTGCCGGAGGAGGGGTGGCAGCACCACCACTAGCACGAGCAGCTGCCTCAGCCGCCTGCCGTTCCTTCTTCCTGCGACTTAGTTCTGCTCCCAGGCTGGAGTTGAGTGGCAGGCGGGAGGGGGGGGAGCGGCTCGTTGGCCGACTGCTGTGGGAGCTGGCCCCCGCTGCAACAGAGGAAGTATGTCTCTTGCTACGGGGACGAGAGGTGGAGCGACGAGAAGTTGAGTAGTGCATCGGGGAGCGACTCCTGGAGCGGCCAGAGCGGCTAAACAAAAGAAATACATTTTATAATGCCATAAACATTTTCTAATATACTGCATTTCTACATTAAAAAAAAGAGAGCTTTGTTAAGAGTGAGTTTTTGAACCGTTTACTGTTAAATCACAAGCTGCAGCTCTATTCCTTACTGTGGCAACTGGAAATAATTTGTGGCTTTGACCAGGATGGTTATGGCCTAATTTGTAGTCAGTGGTGATGTTATAGCCTTACTTTTTTTAAGCTACAACCATAGGATTACATTTTTTGTAATTTGCTTTTATTAATTGATTTTTATTTCTGTTATTCTAATTTGGATCACTTAGGGCTGCATGTTTGCATGAAAGGTGATTTAAAAAAGGAAGTCGAGTTGACCATGTCCTGTTAGCCAAAGTTTGTGGTATACATTTTGAATTGCAAAATTAAACAGCTGAAGTGAAACCATGCAGTCACCTGCCTGTGTTCACAGTACCTTTTCAGCCTTTTCATTTTTTCACCCACAGGCTTATGTCTACAGTATAGGGTGTTTAAGAGAATTGAATGGCAAGCTTTCATTAACAGTAACTATTTTTGCTAGAGGATTGGGGACTCTGCAAGTGCAACAAGTTTGCCTGACTTTAAACTTACAATTCAGGTTTTTATAATCATATATAGTTGGAATAGTTGTAAGCTCAATTATAAAACACCAAATCAAGTTTCACTATACAAACATAATACCAAATAGGACTTGAGGGTTGAATTGGCATTCTATGTCATCATGCCTGAAGATACTTAACACGTTCCCAATAAACAAGTGTTTCTAAGTTAAAGCTATTATTCCCTAAGATGTAAAGACCAACCTGCAGTTTATACTCACCGAGACATGGGGCTGTTGCTGGAGGACCTGCGGGTACCATAGGGGCTGATGGAGCGTCTCCTTGAGTATGGGCTGCTGTCCCTCTCATAGCTGGAAGACCGGTGTCTGCTGCCATAGGGGCTGTCTGATCTCTGTCTGCTGCGGCGGGAAGTGTCCCCATAAGGAGTTGGGCTCTGCTGGGCCACCCTCCGCCTGGAGTAGGTGTCATCCACCTGCTGTCCATACCCACTGGCCTGTGGACTCTCGCTGCCAGCCGCTCTTCTGGGACTGGGTGAATGAGCAGCATTTGCGCCCTTCCTGCGGGGGCTACCCCTATTCGAAGACTTGCCCTTAGGGCTGGACTTCAGGCTCTTGGAGGCCTTGCGGTGGGTCCTGTCTGCTCGGTTCCTCTGGGAGGAGCTTTGGCTGCCCTCCGCTGCTCGGCCCTCTTTCCGCTGCTGCTTCTCTTTCTCTTTGCGAGTCTTTCCTGAGCGGCTGCTTTCCTTGCTGCGAGATGAGGATGTGGAGGAAGTAGCACTACCTACACTGGCTGCAGGCTGTGTGGTGAGCATCAGCTCCGCACGTTTAGAGTCACCCTCTGGCTGGACATGGCGTTTGGAGGAGGTACCTGAGGAGGCAGCCTTCTCCTTGTTCTTTACAGCAACCCCTTTCTCGTGGTCTTTGCTGTTCTTTTTCTTGATGCCACGTTCGCCATTCCCAGGGTCTCTAACTTTGTTGGGGTCCTTGGGCTTTTTTCGGGAGTGTTTGTGTCCCTTGTTCTCCCTGCCACCTGCTTCTGCCCCGGCCTCCTGCCTATCGTAGTCTGGTGACGGCTCCAGTAAGTCCCCGCCCCCCCTCTCTGAGGGCCTGGAGGACGGTGGGTCTGAAAAAGTGTCCGAGTCCGAGCTGATATCGTCGTACTCCACGAGAGGCTTCACCGTGTTGACACCAGGTGGCGCCGCATCGCCGAGGGTAACATATTCGGCTCCAGATGCAGAGGATTCCCGATTATGTTTGGTTGATTTATGCCGTTTGCGTTTTGTATTAGAAGAGGACATTGAAGATTTGCCATGCACCTTGCCTTCCTTGCTCGTCTTGTCTCCAGCGGAGGTACGAGTCGAGGCCTGGGTCTGCTGTGGCACGCCGCTAAGACTGCTGGATTCCGGCTTCCTCTTGGTCCCATGGTGTCGGTCCGACCCAGGCATCCCTCACGCCGGCGTCGGTGCCACTCCTGCGACTGGGCCTCGGTGGTCCAAGCAATTCATTCACAAGAGAACAGTAGCTACTCCAAATGCCAAAATAAACGTGTTACTAAGCAGAAACTGGGCAAGAATACACAAAATAAACACACCAGGCCTGTCACGTCCAGTCCTCCTCAAAGCCAATTCATTCCTCTGAGATCCCCAACATAGTTCGTCAAAGCTGAAAGATGACAAGGTGGTTTTCCAGTGCTGTAAAGTATAGTACTTTGAATTAGTCAGTGAATGAAAAAGATCCCAAGCAGACATCGGAGCATTGTGGGGTCGTCTCCGTTTCAAATATAGCTAGCACCGCTAGCTAATGCTTGGCGGCTAGCGAGCTGATTCGTAAAAAAGAAAAAGTCCCTTTGTGAAAGGTGTCCTTGTCCGGTGCCAAGTTAAGTAAAGGTGCTTTTATTCCACAGAATTACGGTTTAAGCATTCAGAAACAAGCAAATGCCTTCATTAAAAGCAGCTTGTTTCTCGAACAAAATGAAAACTTGACCCGGTTGGTACTGTTTACATGTTCCCTTTTTAATGCAAGTTTTATCCACTATAAATTCAATATTGTTTAGAAATCATAGTATTGTCGTGTGCAGTAGATGTTCCAGTTTATTATCAATGGCTCTGGGAATCAACCAGGCCTATATTTAGGGCGATGCTAGTGGATTTAATATTATCCACAGCCCTATCTGAAGGAGACTACAAACGCCATTGTGGCTCCTGTGACTGGCAACTTCTCTGCTAACAGCGGAATGAACCGGAAACAGGAAAGCTGTCAATTAAGTGACGTATCTAAGCAACGGCCAATCAGAACACTGTTGTACACAATTTCCCGCCTACTGTACACGTGATCGAGCGACAGCTGCGCAAAATGCTCAGAGATGCAACAATCTGTCCAAGAAAAAACAAAACAAAGAAAGTTTTAACCATGAAATTAAGGAACATATGTGTTACACTGGTAACACAAAAGTGGGAAGCTCCCCCTGGGTCTTGTGAAGGCCAAGATTTCTGTCATCTGGTTTGTTCTAATTTAAAATAGGACAATTACCCATTAAGAACAACAACAACTGATGTGATAAGGGCATATTTAGTAGGTCCTGTTTTACTGTCTAATTTTGTTTTGAGACTGGCCTTTGTGTCTTAACTCATTGCATGTTCATTCTAAATACTCTACATGTGGCCATGTTATACCAATAAATAACACAGAGAAAAATGTAAAAATTGCACTGAGATAACATAAAACAATTTGTACAGATCAATCCGTATGCAGCAGTTGTAGTAGCTGATGTTGGAAATAGTGAAAACATGAAGAGTGAAAGTGAATAAAATATGAACAATTAAGGTGATCAATGAGGTGCACAACTCAGATGTACACAAGGCCTGTATTGCAAGCAGTAACAGTAAGTGTAACTAATTTGTAACTATAAAGAATAACAGTAAATTGAAAATATAAACATTCCAAACGTCAGGAAACAGCTAGGTTTATTAAAATCAAACAGATTGAGGGATACAAAATTGCAAATCCAAAACAGAGCTGAACAGGGCTTAAAAAGAGGCTCGAGGCACCTCAGGCCCTCATGTCTCTGCTATCAGTCTTTAGTGTGGGTTTGGTACGGAGGCTACTTTTTGTAATCCAAAATTATCATGCATCAATACAAAGTGAACCTAGTCATGTGAAGTTCCCATTTCAATGAATAAATTGACAGTCCACTAAACGTTAGTTATTGTTTTACTAGTGTAATTTTAGACCCTTGGCTTAATGGTTAATTGAGTTATGGATTTGAGTGTTAAAATAACCCTTCATTTTCTTCCAGAATTCTAATGTTCATTGACATTCACAAAAAATATGCTAATAATTTCTTATTATTTTCTTAAATAAAATTCAAATGTGTAATCAAGGACCACCAATCTTGAGATCAATAAGTTAGCCAGATACATGTTTTGTACAATTTTGTAATGCTATTATTCAATGTGTTGAGGATAACACATTATCAAATTTTTTTGCTGTTATGAATGATTTCTTATGTGATTATAAGAGCGTTTTCTTAATTTTAACAATAAGTGCAATAACAAAGAAAGTAGGTTCCACGTTTAAAGCACTGTTGTCAAGCATGTTCCTTGGTTCGATTACGCAGAATGACGAGCAGCCGTCATGGATGCTGATTGGCTCCACTGTCAAACTGGGGCGTGTCCAATGAAAAACAAGGAAGTGGTGTTTTCTACAATAATAACAAAGTTACAATGAATGCAATAGAATAAATAAGAGTTAATAATATACTCTAAGTCATTGATATGGTAAGTGTGTCTTTATAGGAACATTTGTTTGCGTATGTGCTCGATATAGCACACACATGTAATTGTGATAATTATGAGCGCTTTGTTGTACACTTCTATGACAGGGCCTTCTAGTGTAAACGACATTAAAAGCGCTATTTATTATTAGAGGAAGGCTGTCTGAAAGATATCACAGACTATATGCTCAAGTAATCCTAACTTGTCTTTCTTTGTCTTCAGGGGTGGCAATTTATACCGACCACCTGGGATAAAACTAAATTAATGTAACATAGCTCTGAAAACCTGTTGCCTCTAGCCAGGCATTCGTGCTACGTGGGCTGTCGAAAGGTTGACACCCCACTTTGATATTTATCTTTGCTCATATGAGCTTGTAGCCTACTGGACCCGCACTGCGAGCTTTGGTTTTAAGGAACAGCCAGCAAGTAAGTAGCCAGAGTCACTCGTGTGCATTGTGAAATAGGCCTATACATGCCTCGGTGCAATGTCTTTATATTTATTATTTTTAAAGAGATGTAGGCGTAAGACCTGCTCCATTTTAGGCTGCCAGGTCCTATTCCTTTCGGTCTTTTGTGTGGATGGATGAGAAGCTGTGTAGGGGAGAGGAGGGGGAGGAGGTGAGGGAGAAGCAAGCAGATAAGAGAAGTGGCTTATTGGCTGTCTGCTGCCTGTAGCTCATATTCTTTTAATACAAAATAAGAGGTATTGACGTTTGTTTTACAGGCCGACAAAAAACAACAACGACATCGCACCCCACTGAGAGGACGGTAGCATGATAGTCGTGGAGGGGAATCGGCGGAAGACGGCCCGTGTCTGTATTTTACTTCGCCTGCACCGAATCCATTGAGTCGGTAACCACCAGTGTCCGACATGGGGAAGGAGGTAAACGGTGTTTCGCGGAGTCGGTTTGAGGTGAGCTAACCATCAACATTACCTGACAGTCACTGACACGCATTCAACGTAGCTGTTTAACAAGTTAGGATATGGGCCTACACTGAGGCTGTCGCTGTATTTATTGTAAAACTGCGCTTATGGTGAGGCTGTTGATGCAGCTTCCGCAGTCAATGTTTGGGATTAGGTCAAATGCTGTTTTGTTCAAACAACATATCCTAAACATGGCACGTTATGTCGTTCAGGACTCGTGTCGCTATTATCAGTTAGCATACCCGACTGTTAATCGATAAATGAGAGGGCTTTAAAGGACCTCAAATGTTCCACTCGTTTCGCCGTCAAAACAAAGACACTGAGCACGCCGAGGACAGCTCCGGCAGACATTAACATATGTATTAAGAAGAAATGTGTGGGCTTCACTTTTCTAAGAAGCAGTTTTATTATATTCTTCATATATGCCAGGGTGTGATTATTTACCGACTTTAGTTGTTGGGGAGTCTGTCGAGCCGTATTGTTGTGAATGGCCGCTGCGGTTATGGGGGCCTCGGGTAGTGACTGCTACATGAACCCCCTGTTAGCACGGACACTATCAACAAATAGGCCCAAGCCACCCCGATGTAACACACACCATAACCTGTTCTGATAGCACCAGGGCCACATTGAAGCTACACACATATTCTACGGTGTTATGTAGCATTTGCCATTGAGTAAACTTTGTGTCGCAGCCGCAAGAAGCGTAGCTGAATATTTTGGTGAAACTTGCACTCAAACGCTTTGTATCCGGCCGGTGACATTGAGCGGCGTGGCCTGTGCACTTGGTGTTGTTTAATCCCCGACTAGCGTGGGATTTGTGTGTGGTTTTATTTATTTTTAACGGTGCAACAGCTGACTACTCGGAAGATTCAGGCCGTTACCTTCTGGCCCGACAGCTGCGGTAGAGCTGCTGTGTCAAGTTAAGGGGATTTGGGGTAGGAAACCGGAAATACCACGAACTAGACTTCAAATTAAAATGGGCACATCTTTTTATTTATTTTTTAATTTGAGGTACCTGTTTTAAAGATTTTTCGTTTAAATGGGAGAAAACACCAGTCTTTTTTTGTAGTCTCCTAGTATTGGTTTAGCGGCAAATGTGGTTTTAATTATGTATACTTTTGAGTATACATTTTACAAATCAGCTCCCTTCACTTTGCTTTAGAAAACCATTGTCCATATACTATTTCTAATATGTATGTATCATCCTGTATTAATCCTATTCAGTATATGTAGACATTATAAAACTGTGATGTCTCAATTGGGGCAGCTTGGGATACAGAACAGTAAATAATAAACATAATGTGGACAAGTTTAAAAGTCCATCAGGAATAAATTACTTCTCAATTGGTTGGGTCGGATCTTATAGGGTATCTAGTATAACATTGAGTGTCTGTTACACATCTTTGACAACAAAACTTAAAGTTGTGTATAAGTTTATCTGAGAAACTCATGCAGTCTGTGAAATGTTTGATGGCATGATTGATCTGATTGATCTGACATTTTACCATTTTTAAAAGGTAAATATGTCATATATATTTCTTAGTTTATTTGTCAAAGACAATGCTTATTCTTATTTGGTTGATTTTGAAAAGAAATGCAATGTATCTAGGCTTCCAAGTAGTTGAAGCATATAGGCTTAAAACACAATACATCCTTTTGGCTTATTTCACTTGCCCAGAGTTAGCCCAGTAGTCAAATTGTAAGAAGCCTGAAGCCTGAGACTTGAGATCAAATAGTTACAAAAGCAATTTCTAAACTGTTTGTGGGGAGAGTTTTATTTTAACAGGCATTTCCAGAAACTTCCTCTTGCACTTTGTCTGGCTTTACTGCTCTGCAGCAGATAGTGATCTGATGAATACCAGCTCTAAACAAAAGAATACAGCCCTCTGAAAAGTTGACAGGCATTAATGATCCCTAATTCTATTTCCCAAATAAATAGGAATTCATTTACATTAGTTTGACACTGTAATATACGGATAAAGTGTCAGAATCTCGAGCGAAAACATACAAAACGATTTTTCCAAAAGATATATTCACTTTGTGTTTTGCTTTACAATAATCTCTAGCTGGCGGTTACAGCTCACCCAGTTTTCTACCTCCTGCCAGGCCTGCTTCACTAGCTGACCAGTGGAGAGAAAACATAATGCTCTGCATTCATGCAGCATCAGGTTCATTTTTTGTTAGATTACAAAAGGCGACAGTGTATGCCTGTCGACCATGCGCATCTGCTTCTTTGGAAATGGCCCTGGATTATTTGGCCACAAAGTAGCGCTGTTGAAGGCGAGCTGTCAGAGTCAATTTGCTCTAAATCCAAATGTGAAATGTCTGTCCTTTATACCCCGTCACAATTTCAAACGTCTGCGCTGGCAGGCAGACCCTGCATAGACAGCTGTGATTTTGTGGAGTTTGTCTGTTTATCAGAGAGACATAGAAAGGCTATGACCCAGAGAAGGCTGGATTTCTAAAACGACAGACCTGTCAGTTTGTTTTTATGAGCTGATGAATAGAATTGTGTAAGTCCCTCAAAATCAGAAACTATTGTGAATAAGATTTAAGGACAGACACCTATAATAAAAAAGGCACGCAGTAAAGTATGTTAATACCCATGAATTAATGTATTTACACAATAAATAAAACATTTGATTTATTTTGGGATCATGGATGCTCCATATTTGTAACTGTAAAGAATTGCGCAAATAAGAACATGCAAATTCCTTGTTGATGTAGACACAGATGTTTGCCTCTTGTAAATATCATGTGCATGTTTTATTTACACACTTAAGCCCCGGCCTCTCAATTACTCTGTCCCCTGTTTAGATTTATCTTCCAAAGAATCTATGGAGGAAAATGCATTTGGCCAGATGTTGCTTTATTTGCCTTCTTGCGACTCTGAATGACGGTCTTAGTTCTGCAAATCCAGCTTACAAATTATGGAAACCCTAGTCATCAATAACTGTGTGTGTATTTAAGTATCTGTATCTTAATACATGCTTCTGTGTACTTAGGCTTTTTCTGTGGGTCAAGGACCTGTATTTGCTGAAACAACATACAATGATTTGTGTGGAAATGCCTTCTGTTTGAAGAATGTGGACCAATTTGTTGTAGACTCTCAAACTATATATTGTAACTAATTCCAGGGTAAATCCTCAGTAGATACTGATGGAAATGTAACAGTATAAACGACACAGGAATCATGGGGAAAATATGCATGTTGCACTGATTTTGCTTCTAGAAAATGTCTCTTTGTTTTTATGCTGGGGTCGTCCTTGTGTGAGGCGATTGGATAGAGGGGGCCCTGGCTACCAGGACTAATATTATCCTCTGCAACCTTTCAGATGTTCACAAATAGTGATGAGGCGGTCATCAATAAGAAGCTGCCCAAGGAGCTGTTATTACGGTGAGTGACATTTCAAAACACTTAAATCAGAATCTCTTTAGGGTTTTTGTCAAGTGAAAATGGCATTATTGTATACTCTCCTCCCTGCCTACATTCCCAATCGGCACATCCAATCATACACAAAAGCACAATTGGCCTTGCACTACACTCCTTTCAACAACCTCCAAATGTTGTGCATTTCACAATCATATACTGTTGTGCATTTCACAATCATATACTGTTGTGTTTACATGCCCCTTAGCAAATATGTTAACTAAACTAACCACTGAGATGCAAGTTTCCCCTCGTTCCCCACCCTACTATAGTAATATTGTAATTAAAAACAGATGCCTGAGGCTATAAAGCATTGAAATCAAGTTCAGGCTAAAAAATATAAATAAAATCCAAGAGCCCCTGAGCACACAGCAAATGAAGGCCATAACTCCAGCCTCGGCCTTGTCAGCCCAGCTGCCTGTGCTGTGGGCCAGGTTCATCACCCTGATTTGTGAGGCTGGCAGGCTGCAATGGGACTCACTGCATCCCTGCCTCAACACTAACACAGGTTTTGCTGCATTGAGTGAAGCTTATAGTAAGTTTCCAGCTCTATTGCTTAGAAGCAGATTGCGTGTCTTCCTCTCCAGGTCCCTCTCTTTGAATAAACACATCTCTCTTGCAAACAGGGTACACACATTTTTAGTCAAAGACAATATTAGCTGTTTTACTGACACCCGTGTGTTGTGAGCGTGAGCAGAAGCAGGGTTGGGCGGTTTACTGTAAAGAGGAAGCTTCTGGCAGCTTGCATCAGGGTCTCTAAACCGTCCCTGTCTGTCTTCCAGAATCTTCTCCTTTCTGGATGTGGTGACACTCTGTCGCTGTGCCCAGGTCTCACGGGTGAGTCTGTGTTCACAAGGTGTGTGTGTATGCATGTGTGGGTATGCATATGTGTGTGACTGTGCCTGTTTGTCTGTGTGTTTTAGTGTGTGTATGAGGTATGTTTGAGAACAAACTTGACCCTAAACGTCTGTTTCTTCCCCCCTGCTCTCAGTCCTGGAACGTTCTGGCCTTGGATGGCAGCAACTGGCAACGCATCGACCTCTTCGACTTTCAGAGGGACATTGAGGTGAGTAAATCTGATCTTCATTTACTTTACTCCTACCTTTAACTTCAGTCCTTGTTATTTACTCTTCCCTTCACGCTAAAAGAAGTTCTCAAGCCCAACATGATCGTTTGTATACCAGTGACTCGCCCTGTGTTACCTTGATTTGTGAAGAAAAACGTTTCTCGCTTAAAGAGATCGAAGAATCAAAAAACAAAGAAGTGTTTTGATGAATTGAAATAAATGGGGTCCGTGTTTTACAAATATTTCGCAAAACATCCTTTCACTAACACCCCCACAATCTCAAGCGTATAAACAAAGTCCTACGTACTTAGTCATATGCTCACTACTTCCTAAACACATGTATTTTTCTAAAACCTTATTATTTGATTCTATTCTCACTACAGTACTTGTAGCACGTCTCTGCAAGCTTGACACTGTTTCTGTGGAGATAAATGAGACTTGGATATCTATTGTTTGTAAACGGATGTGGTGATATTAGTTTTGCTCTTCTTAAACGTGGCCCCCATTTATCTGAATTCAATACGTCTTTGGATCCTTTATTCAACGTGGAGTCATGCTGGAAAAAACAAGTTCTCTTTAAGAGTTCAAGGTAACACTGGGTGAGTAGTTGATTTTAAAGTAATAGTTTTTGAAGGGAATGTTTTTATTTGCTATGTTATTATTTTAAGTTGAGGTTTAGAAGCAGATACAGCCGGCTGAAATAATTGTTTTTGGTTGCAGGGCCGGGTGGTGGAGAACATCTCGAAGCGATGTGGGGGGTTCCTCAGGAAGCTGAGCCTGCGGGGGTGTCTGGGTGTGGGTGACAGCGCCCTGAGGTGAGTTTGGAGAGGACATGGCCTGACAGAAATCTTAGTTCTAGTTCAGAGTCTGGGGGGAGCGAGACCAGCGAGTTCTGTGTAACTGACATCACATAAACAATGTTTTTTCTCCGTAGGACTTTCTCGCAGAACTGCAGGAACATCGAGCTGCTTAGTCTGAACGGCTGCACCAAAATCACTGACAGGTACATGTATGCTTATGTGTCTTTTGAAAGGCTGTCTGATGAATTCTACAGATCTTCTAATGTGTATTTATTACGTGTATTAGTAAGTTCTTGCCTAGTTATTTGAAAACTATTGTGTATCTTGTTGTGTCTATATCAGGGGTGTCAACTGTTTTTCACCGAGGGCCACATACACAAAAATATATGAAGTCTGGGCCACTCACTAGAGGTGAGGTATATTGCCCCATATGCTAAGTTATAAGTTAGCAAAATCAATCAAATGTAGGTAAATTAAGCTTGAAACACAACAGCCTACATCACAGCTCTCCATAGGATTTCATTTATTTAGTTTGCAGATCATGCCTTAAAACAGAAGCTTCAGATTGCTTATAAAAAGATTTGTTATGCAAATAAGTGATTGGGCTATATGAACTAAGATTAGTTTGAAAATGTTTCCAACTTTAATTGATAGAATTTATTTGAAAAGTGCGCACACATGAATACTTTGATATATATTTGTACATATATATTTAATTAGTACAATATATGACAAGCACCAGTTTAATTTGTGGGCCATATTTCATTATACTATTTGAACTAGCTGAGGGCCGTTTCAAAATGGGTCGCGGGCCGTAGTTTGGACACCCCTGGTCTATATGTTCATTGTAAAGCACATTGTTAAACTGGTTTTGATATTAGTTATTATTATTATTATTACTTCTGCTTGAAGTGGCTCATTGTCTTTCTCCTCTGCAGCACGTGTAATAGCCTCAGTAAGTTCTGTCCAAAGCTGAAGCACCTGGACCTCGCCTCCTGTACCTCAATCACCAACCTGTCACTCAAAGCTCTCAGGTGTGTACGGTCAACATTGTGTTGTAGACTTCCACTGCATTTACAACATCTAAAACACCCTGATTCAACACTCGGATACAAGCTTACATCCCTCATTTATTTCCTTTGTTCAACCCACAATTGTAACAAATCAGATTTAATTAAATACTCACACACTTTACAATCCTAGTGTATTTGGTTTGCACAAAAGGTTTGTAAGATTTCCCTCACATTGTGTACTTTCTGAGTGCATTCTGTCCTGTATATTCTCTCCCTCTCTCATTGCTGTGTTCTTCTTTTGCGATCTTCGTCTGGTTTTGTTAGGGCTGCTCAATTAATCGTATTTTAATCGCAATTACGATTTTGGCTTGCAACGATTATGAAAACAACATAATCTAAATAAAACGATTATTTTTATTTATTTATTTATTTTTATTGGTTTTTCCGTTGAATTATACTTAAAGTTCAGGGTAATCGACTGTTAAAAACATACTGTTCAAATTCTTTTTTCAATAAATGGATGTTTTCAAAGTAAATGGATAATCGTGATATCAGTTATTGACCCAAATAATCGAGATTATGATTGTTGCCATAATCGAGCAGCCCTAGATTTTGTTTCCATCTTCTTTCCTGACCTTTCTTTATTTCCTCTTGTCAGTGAGGGCTGTCCCCTGCTGGAGCAGCTCAACATCTCCTGGTGTGATCAGGTCACCAAGGACGGCATCCAGGCCCTGGTGCGCTGCTGTCCCGGGCTCAAAGGCCTTTTCCTCAAGGGATGCACACAGGTATGCCCAATTATTTCTATTCTGTTATTTCTGCCCCTATTTTTATTGTTTTTATCTGTTTTATGTCCTATATATATTAATGTTGCATTGTTGGAGGAGCCTGGGACTTAAGTTTTTCATTGTCATATCTACACTGTAGCTACTGTGCATGTGACAATAAAGCCTTGAATCTTGAATCTTAATCGAAATGTTATCGAAATCCCAATATCTGAATCACAGTTAGTGCAATATTTGTCAAAATATCTGAAAGTATTTTGGTGCTGCAGAGAAGTCCTGGCCTAAAATGGTATTCTACCAACTAGATCATTTTAATATTGGTTTTTAATGTTTTATGTTTTAAACTATTGTAGGATTTTTTCTTTTTTTCACAAATGTACTTTTTAGGAGCCCTTGATTTAGGTAAGTTCTTGATTGAGCTTTGAATTTAAACATTTTATATAAAATACATTATGAGTAACCTTAGCCAATATGGGATATTGGAAAACTGTTCAGCACTGCACTAGGTTTAACGGTTTTTGTACATTTCTTCATAGCGGCCATCACTTATCTCACCAACTACCAAGTTCCTCTTATTTTCGTTCTAATACAACCAGTTGCTGCTACTGCAAACACTTCCTGTGCAATAGAGAGTATTTCTGAGGAAAGCCATGCCAGACACTGTTTACAGAAAATGTGAACGCCTTCATATAGCACCATCCGGTTCTATTAACAGTCAACACTGCAGTGTGAAAATACAACCACATATGTATTTAGGGTTGTCACAAATAATCTATTTAAAGGACAAAACAAATCACAACAGAGGCTGTGTTGCCAGAGCCGTCGATTCAACCTAACCGTCATTTTAACGTTTGTTCAATTATATTGTGTTGAATCGAGATGTGTTTGTTTATAGAACAACTCTTTATATCAGTGACAGTAGAGGGGTTAGATGTGTGTGATAATCCTTATATGTTGGTTTGTTAGATTTATTTTGTACATGTTATTGCCATTGTTGTATTTCCTTCCTTTTTAGGCAGACTGGCTTATCAATAAAATGTGTTATTTAACAATCTTACAGTGTTTATTGCTGTATATCTTTCTTGCCAGACACGTCTGCTATTTATTTATTCAATTAGAGTTTGTCTTCACTTTAAAGCTACTACTTAGATATGTATCATACATGATATTTCCTTTTGGCCCATATGAATGTGAAATCATGTCTTTGCTGTAAAAGAGATCAATGCTCGTCCCCTGAATAGACAATGTTGGATGGCAATATTGATGATGATGATGATGATGATACATTTACCAAATAATAATAGTACTAAATGTATTATCAAAGTTCCAAACATCAATTAATGTTCGCCCTCTGTCTTTCCTCTGCCATTCCCCCCCCCCCAGTTAGAGGACGAGGCTCTGAAGCACATCGGGGCTCACTGTCCGGAGCTGGTCACACTCAACCTGCAGACATGTTCAGTAAGTACAGACAACAAGGCGAGAAGATGAATGTGGAGAACGTCCTTTTTTTTTTGCAATTTCACTGACATTTTTCAAATTGAATGCTCGTCGGTTAAAATATTTAAAAAACCAAGTACACAATGTGCCTTTCAACTCCAATCTCATTGTGGACTTCCAGCTGTTACAGCCTATAATCCACACAATGCGAATATATTTTTCTGGCTGTACCCGTCTTCAAAATCCCCCTCCTTCAGCACCTCCTGAATGCTCTTCATCTCTCCATCTTCTCCTCATCTCACACCTCAGGATCTCATCATCTCCTCTTGTCCCAGATGTTCCTTCTCTTCCCTTTCCCTTGCCTAGCCTTTTCTCACCTATCTATCCTCGGCCTGATCTCCAAAGAGTTTTCTTGAGCTATGCTTGAAACTAAAAATGCAAGGAAAAAGAAATTGCTCATTTGCTGAGTGTCGAGGTGGTATTCATGAATAAATATGTTATATTACACATAGCTACTTTTATGCAGAGGAAAAGTGTTCTCATCTACCCTTAGATGGATTTAACTGTTTCACAAACACCACTCTTGTTTTTCTGTGAGCAGCAGATCACAGATGAGGGCCTCATCACAATCTGCAGGGGCTGTCACCGCCTGCAGTCTCTGTGTGTGTCGGGCTGCGCCAACATCACAGACGCCATCCTGCACGCCCTGGGACAGAACTGCCCTCGCCTCAGGTCAATTCAAACGCATACACACTGTTCCTCATACGGAGGCACGCACCACTTCCTAGACACTGCACATGTGGATTATTTCTTTACATTTAGTCTGAAAATCAGTTTCTTTTATTGAGAGTCATTATCGTCTTTACGCTGTAACGCAGTTTTACTTGAGTATTATATATTAAATTAAAGTATTCTGATTGAATCCTTGAAAACTGATAGCTTTCTTTGACTTGTCTGAGATGTAGGAAAAAAATCCACTTCATTTTGTTATTCTCTCTTGCATTTTTGATTCGTGCAAACAAGTTTTTAACACTTAATATATGAATGAATTGCTTTCAGGGAAGGATGTTTTTGTCATTGTCAAATATTTGTACTAAAAACTCTTAACAAGAAGGGAATTCACTAATTACACGCAGACGTCATTGAAGACGGTTTAAATAAGTGACAAGTAATGTGTGTATCTGCTCTGCGATTTCAATCTGCTGCAAATTGATGTGTTTTTCTTTCTTGGCCCATGCTACACTGTTTAACCAAGTTTCAAGAAAAATCTGGCCAGTAGTTTTTTCTGCAATCCTTCTGACAAACAGGCAATTTTGATCAATTAGCTCCTTTTGCGGAGGTAATTGATCATCCTGCCATAAAATTGAAGCATGGAGAATAAGAATCTGATGGCTAAGAATACAAAAATGGGCCTTTCTGCAGTAAAGCTATCTCAAGCTGTACTACAGTAGATCCTGATAGATTACCAAACTGACAGACTGTAAGTAGTGCGATTGAATAACTCTCTGCTCCTCTTTTTCTCATTTCAGAATACTAGAAGTGGCTCGCTGCTCTCAGCTTACAGACGTGGGCTTCACTACATTAGCAAGGGTGAGTGTGCCATTTTGGTTACATGCAAAAACAAAGACTTAAAGTGGACCTATCATGCTATATTTGAATAATATAGTGTAGGACCATACCTATATAAGGCATATTTATACTTTTTTTTTCTTCAAAATACCAAACAGATCATGCATTTTAGCCATGCCTCATTTCGCTCAATTTGAAAATGTTTAGCTCTGTTTTTGCAAGGGCAGATTCTGTGAGAACAGCACCACCTACAGGCCTGGCATATGACCTACAGCGTCTCCAGGGCTTTCGAACGGCAATGGCCGTGGCTGTCTCCTCCTGATTGGTGGAGTTGGCCCAATAGCCGTAGCGCCACTGTCCTGACGTCAGGACAGTGTTCAAATCTGGATCAGTTTTTATCAGATCCGTTGCAGCCCCTTTTTTTAGAGATTTGGGTATGGAGGAAAATAGAGAGGGTTGTGTTTTCTGACACTTGGTGAGTTCCCTGGAACACCGGGGACACATATTCATGTATAAAAGACGTACAAAAGTGCATTTTGCATGATAGGTCCCCTTTAATGAACACACATTTGAAGTTGATGTCTCATTTGCTTTTATTCCAAAATCATCTTGAAAACAAAATATTTCCACATTCCCAACGCTATATCAGACATTCCCCTCTGTTTGTCACTTTCTCTGCTGCAGAATTGTCATGAGCTTGAGAAAATGGATTTAGAAGAATGTGTGCAGGTAAGTAAACAAACCCAGCAACACAAATACGTTTCCCGCCGCTGTTGCACGAAGACTGCAGTTGTGACATTTGTCTTTTTTTGTCTCCTCAGATCACAGATGGAACACTCATCCAGCTGTCTATCTACTGTCCTCGTTTGCAAGTCCTGGTGAGTGTCATTAGCCACTCCTGTAGCATTTACCCAAACCCCAGCACATCTTGTTCTGGCAGACAGCTGAGTAATGGAGCTCCTGTGTTGGTCCTCCTGTAGAGCCTGTCTCACTGCGAGCTGATCACGGATGACGGCATCAGACACCTGGGCAGCGGCCCCTGCGCTCACGACCGCTTGGAGGTGATCGAGCTTGACAACTGCCCCCTCATCACAGACGCCTCGCTGGAGCACCTGAAGAGCTGCCACAGTCTGGACCGCATCGAGCTCTACGACTGCCAGCAGATCACCCGCGCAGGCATCAAGAGACTAAGGGTGAGTTGTGTGGACTGACATTAGTGAGAAAGCGCTGATTCATATGTAGAATGTACTGTAAGCGCCACATTTGTGAACCTCAATTTTGGTGCAAGATTGTTTTCATTGATCAGTGACCGTATGTTTTAATTGCCTTTTAAGGTAATGATGTTGTAACCCTAACTGCCCATTGGTTGTGAGTTCAGGCTCAAATATCCAGGCTAGTTTTGGACTCTGGAAGGTTATTAATTGAAGTAAAGAAGTCCTTTACCAAAACAGCTTATCACCTCTCAACCTTATAACCTGTGTAAGCTCCGTGCTGCAACACATAATGTATTCAAAATGTGTTATGTTTGAAAGAAAACTCAATAAGGCAACTTATTAATGAAAGTGTGTTGAAAGTACAAACTATTTAGAGAAGTATATTTATAGTCAGTTGGGTGTGGAGCAACTAACTTCCTGGGTAGTAGTAGTGATTTCAATGATGCATGAAATTCAAGATGGCCTATAATTTCAGCTTCAAAACAAAGATTGATTTTTATGAAGACATAATATGTTTCCATCAGTCTGGTAAGGGAAGCAACAGAGTTTTAGATGTCAAAGATTCATTCCACTTTATCCAAATTAAACTCAGTCGGCTCTCCACCCACCCAGTGATGAATCAAGTGAGTGAAATGTTTGTATTTTAAGTATTTGTACAATCTATTAAGACATTTTTCATTCTTTTTCTCTCGACAGACCCATCTGCCTAACATCAAAGTGCATGCATACTTTGCCCCCGTCACTCCGCCCCCCTCCGTCGGGGGCAGCCGTCAGAGGTTTTGCCGCTGTTGCGTCCTGCTATGATGTAAAGACAACATCCCCCCCCCCCCCCCCTTCCCTCTCCCTCGAACACGGTCCCCGCAGCTCGTCACTTGACCCCTGACCTGCTGTCCTCCTCCTGGCATCCCGTCATAGAGTACGTGCTGGTGTGCCCCCCCCTGCCCCACCACCCTTTTGAGCTGCAGAGAGAGGGAGAGAGCCAAAACACTCTACAAGATCTTGGGTAACTTTCCCCCAAAAAACATTCCCCAGTCTCTCCTCAAACACAAACACAGTTCATGCACAGCTGACTCTCCGATGTGCACACACACATTTAAACACACCGATTTACTCTTTGAAGAATGTCACAACATTCCTGGTCTGTGATCAGTGGACAAACCACTATTACAAAGAGGGTTATGTAAAATACAATGCGGTCCCTACTGTTCAAGGGTTTTAACTCTCAATCATATAAAGTAAATAATAATATTCAAATCCAAAAACCGTTGTTCTGTATTTGAGAAGAGTGATACTACTTATGTAGCACTTTGAGACAGATCATAGCCTTTAAACAGAAAATTGAAAAAGCCCTCTTAACCTCTCACAAATACTTCCCTCAGTGTTAACAGCTACCTCTAGACGGGAACTGCACTTGAGTAGATCCCGTGTTAGCTTTGTTCAGCAGTTTATGTCGAAAAGAGCAACGATGCAGCTAGTAAACTGCCGACACCTCCAACACACACATAGAAAGCAGCAGAAAGCCTATTTTTGTGATTTAAAAAAATAATAATACTTGCAGCTATTTGCACTTACAGTAAAGCAAGGATGAGACACTTTAAAAAGATGACCATCTCAGAATCTAAGACTGTCATTTTACTAACAACACACACAACTACAAATCTCCATGCACACACTGAGCTTGCTACACCCGTACCCTCGCCTCTCTCTGTCTCTCTGTTACAATCAGATGCTTCAATATACTGAAGAGGAAAAAAGACAAAGTTTAATATTTTTCTAAAAATGGACCCCAATTAAGACTCACAAGTTGGGTCTCGAAAAGATGCCAAATGTTGCATGTAACACCTCTAGTTTTTTAAAATCGAATTGTAAATATATTTGGACTGCGGAGTCCGAGAGTCAAAGCCAGCTAAACGACAGATGATGTTATGAGATCAAGGCAGAGGTTTCTGTCAGTGGGTCTTTCCGAGGGAACTATGGCGACGCTCACACATGCTGGGTAAAGTGTCTTCGAAATATGTGCTGGCGCTTAATGGACCATCAAAATGAGCCGTCACTTAATCTGGAGTTTGACAGAAGAAGAACTGACTGTGACTGGACTCTGAAAGGTTCTGTCAACAGCAGAAAAAGACGCTCTTTTGACTGGAGAAAAAAAAAAAGTCTGACATTCATGTTGTCGGACGAGAAGAATGGAAAGAAAAAGCCAACTGAAAACAATCCAAGTACGTTTATTTTCAGTAAGTTTGATTTCGTTTAGTTGATCTTGTTTTTGCATCGGTGCCGTTTCTGATGACGAGGAAGTGGTGTGCAGCGGTGACGGGATGCATCGGTGACTTTTCGACTCCCATGAGGACTTGCAGCGTGTGACACCCTGCCAGCTGTGACGCTGCCCGATGTATAGACCAGATCAGTCACTGAAGGAGGAAGTCAACTGAATCTTGAGCGCACAATTCTGGCCTACTGACGGATATGATGGAATGATTTTTGTCTCATCGGAGGGCGATAATGGACTTCGGAGCCACGCCCTATGAAGTATTGAAGCCTTTTTCTTATGGATTATCTTCTCCTGCACTTGCACCTGCTTTATTCTGTCTCATTTTCTTCCAATTTTCTTTTTATAAATGTGTCCTTTACTGCTTTTCTTTCTGATTTCCTCTGGATCTCTCCCATTTTTTTTTTTCTCTTCTTTCGCATTTCTGTTTTGGTGTGGTTTGGATTGCGCCTGCTTTGTGTTTGAAGTCATGAGTTCAGTGTCTCCAAGTTGAGTTTGAGCCCTTTTCCAGTCCTCAGTTTTGATCTGATGGTGTTTGTGTTTTTATTCAGAGTTTATTGTTACTAAATGTCCAGAGTGTAGCCTTTGTCTAGGGGAAGTGTTGGAGCCAGTGCAATTGTAATAAATGTTCAAATCTGAGTTGGATTTTTTTAAATGTGAGTTGAGAAGGGGTTCACGATGACATATGTATGATGTAGGTTCTTCTTATTGAATGTTTCCATCAAGGGGAAGTCGTCAGGACGGCTGTTCAGGCATAGTTTGCCACATTAGCAGAATCTGATTTTTCTCCCATATGCACGCTGAACTTCATTTTATGCCTTGCCCTCTCAAAATGCACCCTGCCCAAAAACTAAATCTATAATTCACTTTGAGATCTGACGGCTTCAGCAGGCGGAATAATACAAACTGCGATGATTCAGTGTAATCCAGTCTGATCTGTTTTGTTTGAATGGGGGTTTACGGGAGATTAGGGAACAATTTAGAGTCAAGATGACGGATATATGTAATGTATTCTGTCACTTGCCTTTGGGGTTAAGGAGGTTAACTGGAGGAAAAAGGAGAGGTTTGCAGGATTAAAGACTGTGAGCCTGGTTGTTAAAACCCTTAGCGTGCACTGTTTGTTGCAGTGCTCCTTACACTAGTGCTCAAACAAGTCCGACACATTGAAGGGATTACAGGTCATCTTTGACCTGCTCCGGATGGTTTTATATGAACAAAAGAAATGTTATCAGTCTTTTTATGGTACAGTATACACTACAGGCTCTACAAAGCAAACTTATTTTTCCTCACAGTATCAAACACCGCTTCGTCCTTCTGTCAGACCTTCCACCTGTTCATTCGGAGGTCGAGATTCTGCGCTCTGGATGCGTTTGTTTTGTGTCCCAAACACTGGAGTGAGGACAGAGGGCAAGAGATGAATCCAAGGTGTGTGTTCATGCGAAATTGACACCTGAGAAAATTCAAAAACAATTTTGACAATGACTGTAGCTCATATAATTACTGTAAATCTTTTCCTTTTTTTTCTTTCTTTTTTTATTAACCGATATAAATGAATATGTACGTATGAATAAATATATACCTATATTATTAAGACGTCTGGATTTCTCTCTGGTGTTGAACTTGTTCTCAATTCACAGCTAACGGTCGTTTCTGGTTGTCAGACAGCAGATGGCAGCAATGACTCAGTTGTAATGCTCGCTCCATCACTGCAGGTCTGATCTCAGGCCAGCTGGAGGCAGGGTTCAGGGTCTGTCAGCTTATTTAATTAGTCCAATTGATTTTCTTTAGTGAGTTAAACCTCCAGTTCCCAGACTGCTATACATGGTTTATTTGAAATAAAATGATCGAGGTGAATAGTTTGTTTAAAAAAAAAAAAAATCTTGGCCAATGGATTATTTCTTTAAGGGAAAAAAAACTGGATTCTATAGTAATTTGAGGTAACTCACATTAATATATGTTAAGGAATAATTCTTCTAGATATCTAACCTTTTGCTCTGTGACGTTTTATGATATACTCTGACGTCTGTTATCTCCTTTAAGGAAAGGCATTGGTGCCATGTGTGTTGTTGTCACCAGTTTGTGACCGGTCAACTTGTCTGGCACGAATGGTAATTGTTGTGGGAACGCTGAGGCACTTCTTTATCGGTGTTTGTGGACTCTAAGATGTGAAATCTTTGAGGCCATGAGTGTCGGGCGCAGGTGGTTCAGTGTTCCCAGCTGTTTAGTCTACTCCTTCAGAGATGTTGATTACTCTCTGTGAACCAGTTAAAAGGTCTCTTCAGAATTGACGTGGCAACTCTACCGTGAAGTCAGAACCTCTGACTCTTTGACTTGTGATGTGAATCCTCCGGCCGATACTCTGAATAAACCCCATCAGTGTTTACATCAAAAGCTCCAACTCTCACCGTGTCTCCTTCCTGAGACGGTGACTCCCAATGCATTGCTACACAGAAGTTTCCCCCACAATATACATATTCTTGTGAACTTTAACCTTCAAATTCTTTATAAAAACATGTACACTGTAAACGTTTTTATTTCTATTCAACAAAACCACTACTGCAATGTTTGTTAAATAAGGGTTTATGTGTTGACTGCGGTTACAATTTCTTTCTTTTTGCCACAGCAGGGTACATTTGATAAGCTTGCTGTAATGATCCTCCTGTTCATACTGGCTATTGCAAGATCCCTAATACACATGCATTGTAGGCGATCGGGGACAAACTACATAGTCCTTTTTCTGTATATATTCACAAGTTCATCTGAAGATAAGTGCAAAATTGTTAATCTTTTGGGTCTATTATATCATAACATAATTTACTCACAAGTACAGCTTGTTTGTCAATTTGCTGATTTATGTTACAATCCACAAGAATCCAAAAGCACAGCCTTTGTCAGATGGGGGCATGTGATTCAAAATGTGACTGTCTGAGCACGTTGGACACTGCATGCAGAGTCAATTATGTGTTTGCTTACGTACACATTTCTGAGGTGAAATCACAGATGAACAATCACGATCAATTTGTTCCAGTGGAAAAAGCAGCAGCTCCGGCCCTGTTACTGCACCATGACGACTGCTGTCATGGCTGGGAGTTGTCTTCCGCCGCATGGGACTCATTTTCTTCGTCTCATCCTCCTTTAGTTTCCCTTGTCTCCAAATCACTGAGTTTCCACTGTCGTCTTAATGTTCATTTTTAGCAGCCTTGTTCCGGCACCTGAGGATGAAAGGTAGGAGACATTTGAATGTGTTTCCTTCCTACAGCATTTCACTTTTCTGTGTGTTCTTCTTTAATCGCAGACAGATCCGTTGGCAGATCACTGCACAATGCCCCACCAAGACATTGTGTCTCGGTTTATTTTTGACTGCGAAGCCACAGCTAGAAAACGTTTGACTTGGCTTTTTGTTTTGTTTCTTCGCAAAGTGTTCCCTTCAGCAGTCACTCTGCTATCTGCTCTGCCCTTGCCGTGAAGCAATAATTAACGTGATAACAGAGGCTCCTTCCCTTTGTCTTCCTCCTGTCTCTTTTCTCCAACACACCCACACACAAGCACTTTCTGACAGCTTGGAGAGAACTTTGATGTCAGATTTAGGTAAAAAAAGATGCACTCTAATCCCATTTCTTTGCAGTATTTGCTTTGAATCCCCTTTAAAATGCTCCTATCAGATAAACTATCCCTGTCTTCATACCTTAGTGGGGTTAATGCCAAAATCAGCAGCTGTGACTGCACCCTATTGCTTCATTCTCTTTCATGTGATGACTTCTAAAGGGGCAATCAATGGAAAAGCCCCCCTGAAGGGTGGTGAAAACAGGTAGGAAATGTGATTGAATTTGACATTTGAGGCGGCAATCATCGAGCCTTGTTGTAGCTGCTTTAAATATATAATGTAAAGAAAAATGATAGCCTAGCCTTAACTCTGCATTGCAGCTGCTTCAGTATTCAGTGCCTCCGAGGGCAGGTGGGAAATGACATGGAATACATTTAAACAGTCAAGAGTGTTTATTTTCCCACCCAAAAAACAAACTGAAAGTAGCTCATCCCACATGGGTCATGGGTCTGCTATAGGAAATAATGACCCTGGTGACTCACAGCTTCGTTATACAGCCTGCAGAAAGTTCTGCATCAATGTCCTCCACCCTCTTCTGTCACTACTTCAGCATTCTTCTGACATTGATTCATAATAATGACATACTTGATGTTGGTTTTATATGGTGTCACTAGAAGGCTGTCTTCGACAAATTAAGTTTCTGTTTTATTGGTCTCAAGTTGGTTAACAGAGGTCAACATTACAATGAAATGAGTCGCATAATCAGAGCACTATATATCTTCTTTATATTATCATATGTAAATCTGTATCACAGAGATTTTCCAGAAGGGACAAAGCACCACTTTAAATATTATAGATGTGCTCATAGGTTTCTTGGACAAAGTTATTCAGCATAAAAAAAAAATGTAGTCGTCTAAGACCGTAACAACCAATTAGTCGACTAAAATGGAGCATTCTAATCTCTAGTATTGCATCATGTTGTGTCTGTGTGCTTGCTTTGCAGTGTTCTGAAACCCATTTGTATTCTATATAATAGCTTTTTAACAAAAGGCAAATGGTATCACATTTAGTCGTGCACTTACAGTTGTAAGTATTTCGATTTTCACCAATTAGGATAGGCTACAACAAAAAGTATAATTAAAGGGGTGCACTTTCATTTCAAAACTATAACCTAAAAAGCAGGAAGAAAATAAAGACATCCTGCTTTTGTTATAAAAGACTAATTTCCCCAAAGAGAAAACCAGCTCTTGCTTACAATTTGAAAGGTAGTCTATATTTGGGCTTAAAATAAGCATCCGCCCACGACAGTGAATCCTGATTATGTCTAAATCAATCCTGGTAGAGTTGTAAAAATTGAACCAATCATGCGCCCCAGACGCACGAGAGGGCGTGCCTCAGGTTGCGCTTAAATTTAAGTCTGTGCAGTGGTGAAGGACACAGTTCGCTTTGGATTTATAGCCAGCGACTTCCAGATCACAAGCTTTGTTTGGATGTAATCATACTAAGATATTTTTTCCACATCGACGTTTTGCTGCTTTCAATCATTTTTTTTTTGGAAACTGTATGACGGAACTGTGCCACATTGGAGTTTCCAATGCGCCATACGGGATCCTGAATGCTTGTCCTTGCATGGCAGGAGTGAAATATAAACAGCTGGTGTGTGTTTATGTTTAGAAAGTGTTTAATCAACCTGCAGTCGGTGTGTGCAGAGTTAATGGCCATAAGGCGTCCACCTCGCAGCGCGCACACATTCCTGTGATGTGGATCTGTTACACTTTTCCAAGCTTTTATATGGCTAAAGCTCGATATTTCTTATCGACTGGAGACAGTTTGAAGAGTTTTTTTTAATTGTGTGTGTCCTCAACGACTCTTTTCTTTACGGTGTCAATGATGACTGAGAACAATGAGATGGAGAGCGACACTCAGCTCCAGCGCTCCCCAAGCACCATGTCCATCCAACCGATGTCATCCAAGGCAAGTTGAGCTTTGCTCCGTAAATTAAATACACTGTAATTTCCTACAGTTCTTTATCTGTTCTCTGTAACGACCTGAAAAAAAGGCGATCAACTTTGCACAGCAGCTTCCTTCACAAACTGAAACAAAAATATTATTTTGTCCGAATAAAGGGGAGAGATTATTTTAATGGTATTTGTGTTGTTTTGCTTATTGTTAATTGTTGCTAATGCCTTCCTCATTATTCCACTGGTTTATGTCATATTGATGTCAATCCCTCACAATTGCAGTTGTATTGTCATGACTGCGTCACTTGGTGTAACTTCACGCGTAAGGTGTGATGTCACTCTGTCTGCCCCTTTCTCTCTGCCGCTCCAAATTCACTTCCTGCTCTCACACACACACACACACACACACACACACACACACACACACACACACACACACACACACACACACACACACACACACACACACACACACACAGGGGATTTATGCTTAGTATTAATTCATAATATGCATTTGAACGAGTAAGGATTTCTTGGAAGAACACTACATTATTTTCAGATTTATTACTGGAAGCTCCTTTTTTTCAAGAATGACTTGATGAAATCATATATTTCCCTTCCTTGCTGCTTTCATGCACACTTTGTTGTAAACCTCTATATGCGGTAAGAATGTTTTTATTGCAATAAACACAAATGGCCACGTTTATTTACATGCAGACCTGGATCTCTTATAGTACAGTGTGGGCCTGTCTGAGGCTCAAGTGTCCTTACACAGTGTCCTTATGATTCCATCCAATTTGTTGACTAGACTTTATAAACAAAGATATTAAGTGCTGTCCTCCAAGTGCAGGAGCGGTGAAAGCTTTCTGAATGTCTGCTGTTTAATGAAGGGCTTTTAGGACACTTGATTCATCAGGTCCAAATATTATGCAACTTTCCCTCAGCTGAGTCTCCATCATGCTTCCTCTGGCCGCCAAGGCACAAAAACACAAACACATGCTGTGGAAATGTTTGAGGAAAAGTGACACTCAGATGTTTCATCTAAATATTTGATGTCCTCTGCGAGATGCAGAAAGTCAGCATTGT